TCTTTCCCAGATATCGGTGATAACTTTTTGTTGTTGAAAGTTTGATTTCAGTTTGCCAGCCTTCAGGACTTCTTCATCTTTTGCAGGGATACCAGATTCCCAAAGGCTGGAATGTTATCTACAGCATCTGTGATACGCACGACGTGGCAGACATCTTCACCAACAAGGAGGAATTTAATCCTGACCGATTTATGCTGCCACACCCTGACGATGCATCCAGGTTTAGCTTCTGGGAAGGAGTTTGCAAAAATTCTTCTCAAAATATTTATAGTGGAGCTGGCCAGGCATTGTGACTGGAGGCTTCTCAATGGACCTCCTACAATGAAAACCTGTCCCACCGTGTACCCTGTGGACAATCTCCCTGCAAGGTTCACCCGTTTCCAGGGGGAAATCTGATGGTGGGAATGCCTAGGCCTCGGACTTATTGGAAATGTACCTATGAGATTTTACATAATGCCATGTTGATTCTATTTAATTTCTAAATATATATTATAATATTTATGTGTCTCTACTACAGTGCCACAGTCTTTAAATATTAAAATAATGAATTTTGTATAGTTTCCAAATAAAGTAAAATTTGAAGGTGCTTGTCTTGTATTTAAGATTCTTGTGCGGGAAAACTCACGGGGTTAATATGTGTACGTATTATATTTAACCAGATTTCTAAAGGTCTCCACACATGGCTTTATTTGTCATCTGTGCATATCTGCTTTCTGTGAGGAAGACACGTTAGCTGCTTTTTCGTTTAACAGTTATTAGAAAATATTTATGTGGCTGTGTGCGTTCGTCTAAAGGTAACTTTCCCTTTCTATCAAAGTTAATTTTAGATTTGGGGTGGGGGGGTTGTTTTACTTTAGAGAAAGATGACTTTGAAACGATAACACTTTTGGGAACAACCATATTCTAATATAACACCTTCAGCCATAAACCCTATGTTTAATAACGTTTCCACGTTGTCACACATCAATACAACTGGCTCCTGAAGTCAAGGTTTTAGGTGAGACAAAGCCAGTCACTCCAGTTCTTGACTAAAGTGAGACCAAAACTCACCGGTGTGTGTCCTTTACTCAGAAATTGCCATAAAAGCCGTACTGGGGAAGGCCAGTCTCTGGTTCAGATAAGTGAGTCCAGGTTTCCTTTATTGAGAGTACGGCAGGAGGAGCAGATTTAGCAAACTGACAGATAAAGTTTTTATCTGTGCTGGGCAACAGGGTGTGAGCCTGACATGACTGATAAAATGGCCCAGTCATGACCCTGTGAACCTTGGCTAACCCCCGTGGAAGCACGGTTTTGTCACATTCCTGACCCTGGCATAGCCATGTTCTGAGCTGAAGGCCAGACTCCATCCAGAAAGGTTAGCCCCGGTGACTTGCTGATGCAAGCACATTTTCCTTTTTGAAATGGCACAGTCTGCTTACTGAACCTCTGATGGCTTGTAGGTTTTGGACTTTAAAGTTTTCATTGCAATTTTAGGATTTGGCAATGCTACAGAAACTGGGTGGTCCACAGAGGTGTTTGAAAAGGGTCTGTCTACAATTAGAGTTACATGTTCTACCTGACTTGAGTGTTTTAGGTAGAACTTCTATTGTACTTATTGTTGGGACCCTTTGATTTTTAAAGGGTGTTTACATAACTTATAGTGCCCACAATAACCGTATAATACCTTTATTCAAAAAGGAGAGACCGTGCTGTGCAGAGGTGACCCCTCCCCCGATAGCAGTCGCCATGGATCATTCCAGCCAGGAGCACAGTGGCTAGAGGACATTATCGCAGATAATTTATACAAGGCCAGTGGCGAAGGGCTTCAATACTTTTTATGTTGCCAGAATACAGTTAGCCTTTCAAAACGTTTTTGGTGACGCCATGACCGCCTGTCTCTTTAGAGCAGAGAGTAGAAAGAAATTTGAACCATGTTAGCATATAATTCAATTTTTAAAATCCAGCTTTATTTTTTATCGGGAGAGCTTTGAGGAAAGTGCTCTCGCTTGCATTTCTCAGGGCTACATTAAGCCCAATTACACTCATTGATTACAGAGCGTTGCAGAATTCACCTTGAAAATACGTTAAAAATATAATCTGTGTTAATGTGCTTAGTGCTGAGTCAAGGCAGTTGAGAGTGTGAGGCAGAATCAATGCTGGTGGGCTGTCATATTGTGTATTAAATGGGCCCGGGTCACATCTATCTGGGGCAAGCATGTTTAATGGCACAGGCACCTCCACCCCATGGAGAAGTGTTTTGGGAAGAGGGCATGGTGCTAGAGTTAGGCTTGGCCAAAGTCGCGGGAGGCGGGGAGACCACTGTGGAAAATGTCTCTGGAGCTCCCAGGGGTATGGCACACGATGGAAGGGCACATGGCAGGGACGGGTGGATCGGCCACGCTGGTGAGGTTGGTGCCCTCTGCCTCCCCTTCACACATGCCCTTTGTGCTGGCCACCTCTCATCCCCTGATTGCAGATTGGTGTGGTGCCACCAATGACGGACCATTGTCCAGGCTGGCCTGTGAAAGCCTTCAGCTGGGTCTATCATTTTCATTCAGAGGGATTGTATAGTCTTCACCTCATGGAGCCCTTGGAGGCCCAGAGAGGGACTGTGATTTGCCTGCGGCCACCAGGGAGTGACAGAGCAAGGACAGGCCTCCTGCTGCTTCCCCACCCATCCACCCTTTCTTTTTCTCGACGGCTGATAACACCTGCCTAATTTCTCTCCAACTTTCTGTTGCGGACAACTACACCACCTAACTTCCCTTCATATCCCCTGCCACCAGGCCCCTGCCCTGCGACAGCCTAGATCAATTCTCTTACAGGCCACCAGAGGCAACTGGTGAAATGGGAGCAGTGACAGGGAGTGGCTACTCCCCCAGATCTCTAATCTCCTGCGAGGTTTCAGGGTGCTTTTCGTACCTTGCCACCCTTCAGAGGTCCACAAGGGGGCGGGCTTCTCCCTTCTATGCCAAGTGCAGGTCCCAGTGGTTTTCCCCACCAGTGTCCGTGAAATCCGACTTCCACAGACTCTGGCCTAGGGGCCTGCGTTTACCCCAGACAGTGAGAAGCTACAGATCACTTAGGGCTTAACAAATACCCAGCCTTAGGTCTGCTCAAGGCTGCCTGGCCTCTCTGGGAGGGTCACCCCAGGCTGGGTGGATCTGGATCAGTGGTTCTCAACCTTCCTCATGCCGCAACCCTTTAACACAGTTCCTCATGTGGTGGTGACCCCCAACCATAAAATTATTTTCGTCGCTACTTCATAACTGTAATTGTGCTACTGTTATGAATCGTCATGTAAATATCTGATATGCAGGATGTATTTTCATTGTTACAAATTGAACATAATTAAAGCATAGTGATTAATCACAAAAGCAATATGTAATTATATGTGTTTTCTGATGGTCTTAGGCGACCCCTGTGAAAGGGTCGTTCGACCCCCAAAGGGGTCCCGACCCACAGGATCGGGAGAAACGTTGATCTCGATCATCATTCAGCCCCGTCCACTGGGGCTCTGAGTCAGCTGGCTCCTGTGTCCAGTGTTGCCCACATTCTGCCCATGCTCTGACCTGTGTGGCTCCCACTGCCCTTGGAAGATGGCTCTTGATGTGGGGGAGGCGGGAAGCATGTTTTTCAAAGGACATGAGCACACTAGTCAGTGTTCAGATGACCTTAATCAGGTCGAGGAGTCATCCCCCCAAACATGGTGTGAAGAATTAGGGGTGCTTAGGGGTATTTTTGTGGCTCCACCTTCAAATCAAGGGCTGTTGCAGAAAATCTGGGTTTGGGCCTGTTCTGAAGGACAGAGCACGCGCTTAGGAGGGTCAGTGAGAAGAAGGAGATGCGAGCACCATGTAAAGAAAAACTGGAGCCCTTCGGCGATGGCACAGCTACCTGTGAGAGAGCAAGCTCCCTGTCGCTGGGGGCATCCGAACAGGAGCGGGGTAACTAAGCCGCCGCAGGGACTCTGACACGGAGGGAGAGCTGCGTTAGGATGATTATTGTGATTCTCTGAGAGCTGATTCTGTATGAATTCAGTTCCTCACATACCTCCTTTACGTTGAAATGCTAATTAACTCCAATCTAGGGCGACGGGACATTCCCACACCCTCTTTGGGCGCCAGCGTTCAGCAGTTCTTGGTGATCATTCTGCCAAACCTGCCAGGCAGATGTGCGGTGAGAGCCCAGGGGCCTGACCCATGACCTCAGATGCCGAGTCCCTGTGTTGATTGTTTGGGAACCTCTCCCTGCCTGGTGCCCTGGGGCTTCCAGCTTCAGCATCTGCTCCAGCACCACTCTGCACGCCTCCCCCCCCCCCCCCCCCCCCCCGTCCCAGCTGGGCCATACTGACCATCCACTTGACCTGGCTTCTGGGGTAACACCCAGCAACATTCCCAGTGCTCCTGCTCCCCGGTCTCTGAGATGCCACAAGTTGACATTGGACGTATCCGGACTGTCCTTTCTCTCCGCCTCCTGAAAAGACTCAAAGGCAGGAACTGTATCTCATCATTGGAATCTTGTCACAGCCTATTCGCACATGCCTCCCTGCCTTCTCCCCGGACAGACACACACATAGTAGGTGTTCTTTGAGAGAGAAAGAGTCCTGGGCTGAGCCACACCATTCAGCTTATGTGTCTCCAGCTTTGCGGTGCCATATTTTTCTTTGAAAAGTGAAACTTTCACCCTTGGAAAATCTCAGTGGCCGCAAGCTTACACGGCTGTGGTTTAACAGCATGTCACATTCCTGAAACCAATGCTCCATGGGTATTTGGCCAAACAAGATTTCCTTCGTTTGAAGTAGAGTCAACTTGAGTTAGAACCCTGGGGCAGGGTGGAAACTTAGCCCTGGATTACGCGGTGGGTTTTCTGGGTGAGAGTTATCGTGTTGCAATATTCATAACCACCTACCCACAACACAGAAGCTGAGCCACACTGTACGGTTTCTCACCACTGCCCACCCCCTCGCTGCCCCGTGGAGAGGTTAGAAATCTGTTCTCATTTCTGACCATAGATGCTTCAAGATTTTTACCTGAAGACCCCGATGGGGTCACTGAACTCGAATACATTTGATATTTGACTAAACACATTGACTGATCTATTAAGTCCAGTCCAGTGTAGCAGTGACTTATTTAATGATAGAGGAGGGATTCCGTATTCTGAAATGGAAAGTTTGTTTCGTGTCAATTAATCACGGACTTTTAGAACTAGAAGAGAGATCACCAATGCCCTGTGGTTTACACCTGAGAAATCTGAGGCTCAGAGAAATTTAAGGTCACAACGGAGAACCATCGGGACTGGTGTCTGGTGTCCAATACATTGTAGGATTAGCCCTTAATTTAAAAAAAACAACAACCCACTATATTGTTTACTTTTATATGTGTCAGGAGAATATGGGCAGGTGAGCAGATTATTTGAGACCAGATCGCTTCCAGGTTCTTGCTCCTGACTGTGCCTGTGAGTTGTGTGGCCTGCCACAGGATTTTTTAAAAAATATATATTTTATTGATGTTTTTACAGAGAGGAAGGGAGAGGGATAGAGAGTTAGAAACATCGATGAGAGAGAAACATCAATCAGCTGCCTCCTGCACCCCCCCCCCCCCACTA